AGGGTGAACAGTGTTATTGCTGTCAAAAAACTGGCAAAGGAAGAAAGAGTTAAGAAGTCAACTTTGGCATGATCATCTTCCTGTGGTTGAAGCAATGCACCTTGGGATGCAGAGTCATTACTACCTGGGATTATATGAAAGTCATTGACACAAATCATTAAGAACCAAACAGCCTGATGTGCACACAGCTCTGCCATGCTGGCTGGATTAGTCACCACAATTCTTAGCCAGTTCATCTGTGCCATGAGGACATCAAAGATGACTTTGCACAATTACTGGGAATAAACAAAGCCCGTATGAAGCTCTCCATCAAGTCATTGCTCACTGTGGGAATGGCTTGTATACTATGGACATGCTATGGACAAATGACGTTTACCTGATCTTACAACCAATGTTTTGAGATCATTTAACACTATCTCAGGTTGCTTATAATTCAAAACAAGCCTACTAGGCCTTGAACTCTGTAATACATAGCTTTAATCCCTCATGGTCCTTTTTTGCTCTTGACACAGAACATTACGAGTGTGTGTGTGTGTGTGTGTGTGTGTGTGTGTGTGTGTGTGTATAATTAACGTATCAAGCAAGCACCACAAGCAAGCAGTGGACATTTGTTGAAAGCGATGGATGGGATAATTAACCCATTTGTGTTGCAAACAACAGGTTGGATTAAATTGATAACGTCTGTTTGTGCTCATGTGCGCTGTTCTAAGTCAGTAGTGTTCGGAAAGTGTTCAGAAAAAAGGCAAAGTCCTCTGATAAGGGTCTACTTTTCCTTCCCCATTTCATGATGGATGTACAGTTTCAATATAAGAGAGAGGACTTTGTTTGAGAACAGAGTTCCTAGAGCATTCTGAAAAAACAGTTGCTCAGAGCAGTTTGGGTCCTCTTTTGGCTAAAAGAGATGCTAAGAGCCAGACTGTCATTATTTAGGCATCTCTGTTAAGTGGCATTGCACTGCCGTGGCTCATATTATCTCAGAAACATCCCAATATCAACAACAAAGCCAACAGTCAGACATGTCACCATATACAATTCAGCCATTTAAAGCTGGACCTGGTCAAAAGTCTCATGCTTACTGACATTGTACATGGAATGGATCACAATGTTCACAAAATCTTCAAACTAGTATCTGGGAGAAAAGCCACAAAATATAAGTCTTATGGAAATGGCACAACTTTTATCCACAGGTCTCATAAACCATGGGGTCTTCCCTTGCCTGGAATGTGTGACTGAGCAAAAGTTCATTATGTCATGAAATCACAAAAAATCACCTTTATATAACACTGAAGTTTTTCCCTGTCATTTAAACATTATGTGAAATGTCTTCATATTAAGCTCAACATTTGTAATAACCCCTTAGCAGAGAACACTCTTTCCTGGGAGTTAATTGCTCTACTCTCCTGTGACAGGTGTGTTTCCAGCCATCACAAGTTCAAACCATGGTGAGTCAGCTCATCCTTTCTCTAACTCCGAGGTGAGAACCGGGTCACCTGCTCTGAGTCAGATGACTGCTTGTTTTCCAGTATAATTCAAAGCCTGACCTTTGCCGAGGAGTGTTATTATGCAGTTCCACAATCCTTTCCATCATCAGTCAACCGGAGGGAGATTAAAATTCACTTTTTCAGATTTAAAAGCCTAACTTTTCTGAGGCTAAATTCAGAGAAACTGTTTAAAGTAAATTGCAGATAAGCAGTAAATGATGTGCTGCTTTCATTAAAAGTGGATTTCCAGGAATATAAATCACATCTATTTCCCAGATATAACACATTATGCACAAAAAGAAAATAATTGAAACAGTGCTTGAAAAATGAATCACTAGGGTGAAAAAGGAAAGCACAGAAGAAACCACAAACAAACGAAAAAATGTCTTTATTTTGGGGGATGGTTTGTTCTGGTTTGTCTCCCTCTGAGCTGTGGAGATTTCGCCCTCTTGTGGGATACTTGGTACATACAATCTCCTTGCTGTAGTACAAAATATTAGAAAGCTAGAGATAACATCTGTGGAAGGCATTTGGGCAATGTAAATGTTTTCGTGTAGGTTAGTTAGAGGGATGGATTCCTACCCCATCCCATCTAAGCTCTGTAATTAGACGAGACTATTGTTTACTAGAAGGCATTTCTGTGTTGCAGACACCAAAGAATTTTAGGCTAAGATATAAGCATCTATACATTTTATGTGACACTTTGAAAATGCCTAACTCTAAACACAGAGCCATAGTTAAAAGACATATTTGTTGCATAGGTTCTAAGAACTCATGACAGCTCTGTCTGCCCTTTGGTGTAACAGTCAGAGAAGGCATGTTATATGTCCTTCGTTCCCTGACTCATGCATGTACATCTTCTCTGCAACATCGAGGTAACAAGTTTTATGAAGAGACAGGATACATTTGAGGATTCAGACTTGTGATGCCCTGTAACGATTCCTTTAAGATTCAACATATTTCATCAATAGGACACTCTCAGCTGCATTGTAGAATGAGTGAGCAAATAGGGGTATTAAAATGGTAATGTGTAGTCTGGCTTCTTCTGTTTAATAAAGAAAATCAGCAAATTTCTAAAGAAAATCAGGTAAAGAGATATGTAGTGCAGTAGATATACATGCCTGCTATATACACAAG